TTTGGAAGCAAGGCTGAGCGTTAGGATGGGCCGAACAGTTACTCGTCTTTCTGATCCTCCTTGACTGACTACCTACCAGACCACCCCAACCCAACCCGAAGACCCGAATTTCGGGTTGGGGGGGGGTAAGGGTTCCACATGTGTTTTTTCGATGTTTCCCGACCCCCCCCCCCACTGGAAATGGAGGGTAAATCTGAGCCTTCGGGTTGGGTTGGGGTGGTTTGGTGGGTGGTGATTATGATCCTCCTTGACTGTGCTGCCCGAAGGGCGCCCCAGGAGGGCTCCAGCAGGCCACTCTGCGGCCCCCGACGGCGGGACCGGAACTCGGTCGGCTCTACACGCGAGAGTGACTCCAGGCAAGCGCGACCAGTTGGTGCGCGGCTCACGAGGGGCGCCGTTGGGGGGGGCTGACTACCTACCAGACCAGCCCAACCCAACCCGAAGACCCGGATTTCGGGTTGGGGGGGGTAATGGTTCCACACGTGTTTTTTCGATGTGTCCCGACCCCCCCCCACTGGAAATCGAGGGTAATTCTGAGCCTTCGGGTTGGGTTGGGGTGGTTTGGTGGGTGGTGAGTTGGGGGGGGACAAACCCAAGCCCGTAAGTCGCTGCTTTTGTAGCGCTTTCAGCGATGCGGGGGCCCGAAGGGGCCCGCACCAAAGGTCGCTCCGGCAAAAGGTCACTCGTTACGTGCAGTTGATTTAGGACACCCCCCTCGTGGCCACGGCCTCTGGCACGCGAGGATCGAGGTTCGCGCCGCCCGCCCTGCGTCACGTCGTCGGTCAATCAGTCGCCGTCGATTGGTGTCGTCAATCCGGTCGTAAACGTCGTCCTCGTCGTCGTCGATCAGTCGTCGCCGATTAGTGTCATCGATCTGTCGTCGACGTCGTCCTCGCCTTCGTCGACCAGTCGTCGTCATCTGTTTTGTCTTCGGGTCGCAGTACGTTTTTGACACTTCTGGGGTTTAAGGGCCCTCCTTTCGCCACGAATGAGGAGGATGAGGCAAGGACGACGACGATGCAGTCATGCACCTGGGGGTACGTAGGACACTGAATTCCCATGCGAGCGAGCACTTCGCATGCGTCCTAGTTCGAAGCCAAATGGAAGCTCTAAACTCGCAGACGAATTGGAACACTGATTGGGCGGAGGGGGTAACGGGGAGGAAAAGGGGGGCAATAAGGGAGAGAAAGGGAAACGATATAACATTCTGCAAGCCGGCACTGTATTCAAATGATTTCCAGTCGATGGCTGGTATTATCAGACGTTCGAGCGTTGGCCAAGAAGGCACCAAAACGCTCCCCAGACGGTGGTCCCATGGGGCCACGATTCGCCGAAATATCGCCCCTGGACGCCCATGATGGCCTCCAGGCGGCCTCCGAAGCTGCCAAGACGCCCCAAAAGGCCCCCAAGATGCGCCCCAAGAGGGTCCCAAGAAACAAACTTCGTCCCATCCCCTTCGAAAAACAAGCAGTTGTCGCATGCTCGCCTATTCGGTTTTCACAACGTCCCAGACGGGCAAAGAAACCTCCAATATCGCCCCCAGGCGGCCAAAGGGGCCCCCAAGAAGGGTCGAAGAGGGTCCAACAACAGCCCACGAAGCCCCCAAGACAGCCCAAGAGGGCCCCCAAACGGCTCCAAGACGGAGTCCAGAGGGCACCTTTCCGAGCCTTCGGCCCCAAGACGCCCCCAGTCTGCCCCAAGAACAGCCCAAGAGGCCCTGAGGGACCCCCAAGAGAACCTCAAAGGCCTCCAAGAAGCCCCCAGGAAGCCCCCAGGAGGCCCCAAAACTTGGCCCAAGATGCCTCGAGGCGGCCGGATATGGCCTGCAGACAAGCCAAGATCCCCCCAAAGGCCACAAAAGAGCACCAAGAGTCACGATAACAACAACGAAGCAACAGGAACGGTGTCGAGCGCCGTGTCATGGTTCGGACAAGCCTCGTGGAAAGCAGTCCTGGAGGCGCAATAGTTTACCGCATAGACCACCCTTCGGGTGATAAGGAGGTGAGGGTGGGGAGGGACCAACGTCGCACTCGATCGATCTCACTATCGAACTCACTACCGATCTCACATTCGATCTCAATCGATAGATCTCACAATCGATCTGACTATCGATCTCACAATCAATCTCACAATCGATCCCACAATCGATCTCAAATTCGGTCTCGCTATTGATCTCGCAATCGATATCACAATCGATCTCGCATTCGATCTGACTATCGATCTCACGATCAAACTCACTATCGATCTCATTATCGATCTCACATTCGGTCTCACTATCGATCTCACTATCGATATCACAATCGATCTCACAATCGATCTCGCATTCGGCCTCACTATCGATCTCCCTATCGAACTCACTTTCGATCTCATTATCGATATCACTATCGATCTCACTATCGATATCACAACCGAACTCACAACCGATCCCACATTCGGTCTCATCATCGATCTCACTATCGAAATCACTATCGATCTCATTACCGATAGTGATCTCACTACTAACTCAATCGATCGATCTCACAATCGATCTGACTATCGATCTCACAATAGATTCCACAATCGATCTCACATTCGGTCTCACTATCGATCTCACTATCGATATCATAATCGAACTCACAATCGATATCCCATTCGGTCTCACAATCGATCTCACTATCGATCTCATTATCGATCTCACATTCGGTCTCACAATCGATCTCACAATCGATCTCACAAGCGATCTGACATTCGATCTCACGTTCGATCTCACAATCGATATCACTACCGATCTCACTATCAATCATCAAAATAAAACATCAACATCGTCATCATCATCATCACCATCATCATCATCAATATCATCATCATAATCGGGACACCGACGGGACACCGGCGGGACACCGCGGGCCCCCGGTTGCCCAGAAGGGGGTCATTTGGTAGGGCCGCGCCTCAGCCACAGACACCGACGGGACAACGACGGGACACCGGCGGGACACCGCGGGCCCCCGGCCGCCCGGAATGGAATCATGTGGTCCGGCCGCGCCTCAGCCACGTACACGGGATACCAGCGGGACACCGGCGGGACACCGCGGGCCCCCGGCCGCCCGGAAGGGAATCATTTGGTCCGGCCGCGCCTCAGCCACACGGGACACCAGCGGGACACCGGCGGGACACCGCGGGGCCCCGGCCGCCCGGAAGGGAATCATTTGGTCCGGCCGCGCCTCAGCCACAGGAGACTTTCTCTCGCCCGCCCACGCAGCTTCGCCTCGCCCGCACGGCACGCGCGAACACGAAACCGAAATCGATTTCCCGGTAGGGGGGCTCTCCGTTCCACTTCGATCTCACCCCCTCACCTCCGATATAGGGGTCGGCGGATGTGGCGTCAGCCTATAGAATCAGACGTTCGAGCGTTGCTGCGCTCCCTGTCATAAACAAGGCCATGCGGTACACGTGTGGTACACATACGGACTTCGAACGCCCTGCTTGTCCAACGTACCTGTTAGTCGCCAGTACCAAGGTGAACGGTTGAAGGTTGAAATGCGGAGGAGACTCCCCTGCGCGCGCGGGCCGGTTTGCCCAGAAGCCGAAACTGCTATGTAGCTGGGTCTGCGTCAACGGCCTCTGCCTACTGAGATGCAAGACACAGTCGCTGGCAACTCTGAAAAGTATGCTGGAGATACATCCCAGATATCTCTGAGGCATCTGCAGAGAGGCCATTGAAACGACGATGTTCTGCAACATTGAGCCACGTAAATTGTCCCAACTAATGTTGAGACCTTCATGGAACTTTCGTCTCCATCCTCCTCTTCGCTCCCCCCTCCTCCTCATTCTCGTAGAGGGTGAGAAGGCGGCGGAGAGCGAGGGAGGAGGGAGGAAGAGGAGGGAGCAGAGAGAGAAAGGAAAACATTGACCCCTCAGAACCTCTAGTTCCCCCAGAATCCCCGACCCCGCAACAGGTTCCATCCCTGCTCGGGGACGCTCCAGGAACCTCTCCTTCCTCCTGCCGCTCCTCCAGGTGGAGAAGGGCACAAACAACGACAACGACGAGGAAGAGGACAACGACGACGTCGGACGATGGAAGACGGACGACGGACGACGGACGACGACTACGACGAAAACGACAGCGACGGCGACAGCGACGGCTACAGCGACGACGACGACGACGACGACGACGACGACGACGACGACGACGACGACGACGACGACGCCCACGTCGACCACCGCAGTAGTCGCGCCCAGGTGGCCCCAGCTGTCCTCCGGGAGGCACAGACAGCCTCCGGCGCAGCACCCGCCGCGAGGCCCAGAGGGCCTCAAAAGGGGCTCCACGCAGCGGGGCGGAACGCGGAGGGGGCCCATGGGGCCAGGGTCCGCCCGGGCGGCCCCTGGCAGGAGGAGGAGGGGGAGGAGGAGGGGGAGGAGGAGGAGGAGGAGGAGGAGGGGGAGGGGAGGAGGAGGGGGGGAGGAGGAGAGGAGGGAGGAGGAGGAGGAGGAGAGGAGGAGGAGGAGGAGGAGGAGGGGAGGAGGACAGTGACGACGACGACGACGCCCACGTCGACCACGACGACCACGGCTGCTGTCGGTGCGGTGACCGGGGCCCCGTCCTCCCCACGGCCTCCGCGGGGCGGAGCCCCCTCCCGCGGCGGCCTCGCGTCGCGGCCAGGCGGCGGAGTCGCCAGCCGCCCGGAGTCGGCTATCGGGGAAGGCCGCACCTCGACGAGGCACGCAGCTCCTCCTCCTCCTCCTCGTCCTCCCCCCTCCTCCTCCTCCTCCTCCTCCTCCTCCTCCTCCTCCTCCTCCTCCTCCTCCTCCTCCTCCTCCTCCTCCTCGTCCCTCCCCCCCCCTCCTCCTCCTCCTCCTCCTCCTTCTCCTCCTCCTCCCCTCCTTCTCCTCCTCCTCCTCCTCACTCCCTCCTCCTCCTCCTCCTCCTCCTCCTCCTCCTGCACCTGGAACCCCCCCCTCTCGATGCACGATGAGGACGCAGGCAAGCCCTCCTTCCCGCGGCGAGCGCTGGCGGGGCGCACCGCGATGATGATGCAGGTCTTCTCCTGCGCGGGTGTGGCCCTCCATTCCCACGTCGTCATCGTCGTCGTAACTGTCGTTGTCGTCGTAGTCGACGTTCGCCGTCCGTCGTCCATAGTCCATCGTCCGACGTCGTCGTCGTCGTCGTTCCTCGACCTTCGTCCATCGTCGTCGTAGTCGAAGTCGTCATCATCATCATCATCATCATCATCATCATCATCATCATCATCATCATCATCATCATCATCATCATCATCATCATCATCATCATCATCATCATCATCATCATCATCATCATCATCATCATCATCATCATCATCATCATCATCATCATCATCATCATCATCATCATCGTCGTCGTCGTCGTCGTCATCATCATCATCATCATCATCATCATCATCAGCGTCATCATCACCAGCATCATCAACATCATCATCATCATCATCATCATCATCATTATTATCATCATCGTCATCATCATCAGCATCATCATCAGCATCATCATCAGCATCATCGTCATCATCAGCATCATCATCTCGATCATCATCATAGTAAGCATCATCGCCATCACCAGCATCATCATGCCCACCATCATCATCAGCAGCATCATTTTCATCACCACCATCACCACCACCATCATCACCATCACAACCATCATCATCATCATCATCATCATCACAATCGATGTCATCACTATTATTATCAGAATCATCGTCCTACTCATCATCATCACCGATTTCATCGCTGTCACCATCATCATAGTCATCATTAGCAGCATCATCATCCGCAGCAGCATCATCGGCATCGTCAGAATCATCATCATCATCATCATCATCATCATCATCATCATCATCATCATGACCATCGATGTCATCACAATCATTATCATCATCAGCATAAGCCACGGCATCATCAGCATCATCATAATAATCATCATCATACTCATCATCACTATCATAATCGTCATCATCAGCATCATCATCACTATCAGTACCATCATCATCATCATCAGCACCATCACCATCAGCATCATCATCGTCAACGTCATCATCACCACAACCACCATCATCATCAGAATCAACATCATCATCACCATCATCACATTCATCATCCCCATCATCGTCACCATGGCCACCATCATCATAATCATCATCATCATCCTCATCGCCATCCCGATCGTCGATGCTAGCACCTAAATAATTATCATCATCATCATCACCAACATCATCATCATCATCACAATCATCATCATCATCATCATCATCATCATCATCACCACCATCATTATCGTCACCACCATTATCACCAACACCTTGGTTGTCGACGTCATCGTCGTCGCTGTCGATGTCGCAGTCGTCAATCGTCCGTCGTCCGTCGTCCATCGTCGTCGTCGTCGTTGTCGTTGACGTCGTCGTCCGTCGTCCGTCGTCCGTCGTCCGTCGTCCGTCCCCCATCGTCCGTCGTCCGTCGCCCGTCGTCCGTCGTGCGTCGTCCGTCGTGGTCGTCGTCGTCGTTGTTGTCGTTGTCCGTCGTCGTCGTCGTTCGTCGTCCATCGTCCGGCCTGGTCATCGTCGTCAACGTCACCTTCGTCGTCATCATCATCATCATCATCATCAGCAGCATCATGATCATCATCGTCATCACCACCATCATCATCATCATCATCATCATCATCATCATCATCATCATCCTCCGCAGCAGCATCATCGTCATCGGCATTATCGTAATCAGCCTCATCATCGGTGTTGGCACCTTCATCATTGACAAAATCACCATCAGTATCATGAACAGCAGCATTGACATCATCAGGATCATCATCATCAGCATCATCAGCATCATCAGTACCATCAGCATCAGCATCAGCATCATCATCATCGTCGTCAGCATCATCATCAACGTCATCATCACCACCACCACCATAAACATGAACGTCATCGTCTTTGCCATCATCATCGGCAACGTCGTCGTCATCATCGTCGTCGTAGTCGTCGCCGTCGCAGTCACCGTCCTCCGTCGTCCGTCGTCCGTCCTCCGTCGTCCGTCATCCGTCCTCCCTCGTTTGCGTCGTCGTCGGCGTCGTCGAAATCTTAATCGTCATCTTCATCATCCGCAGCAGAATCATCGCCATCATCATCGTCATTATCAGAACCAGCAGCAACGTCGACGACAGCGCCGTAGTCAACACCAAAATGACCAGCACCAGCATCATCATCATCATCATCATCATCATCATCATCATCATCATCATCATCATCATCATCATCATAATCATCATCATCATCATCATCATCAGCAGCAGCATCAGCATCATCATAATCATCATCATCATCATCAGCAGCAGCATCAGCATCATCATCAGCATCATCCTAATCATTATCATCAGCCATAATCATAATCATCATCCTCACCACCGTCATCATCACCGCCACCGTCACCGCCACCGTCACCCTCATCGTCATCGTCACCGTCATCAGCATCATCATCGGCAGCAGCATCATCGTCAGTATCATCGTCATCCTCGCCATCAGCATCACCACCACCGAAACCAGCATCATCATCAGCAGCAGCATCGCCATCGCCAGCGGCATCGTCAGCATCATCATCATCATCATCATCATCATCATCATCATCATCATCACTATCAGCATCATCATCATCATCACCACCATCATCATAAGCTTTATCATCATAAGCCTCATCATCATCAGCATCAACATCATCATCATCAAGGTCATAGTCATCGTCATCGTCATCATCCGTATCATCATCATCATCATCATCATCATCATCATCATCATCATCATCATCACCAGCATCATCGTCGTCATCACCGTCATAGTCGTAGCCATCGTGGTCGTCGTCTGTCGTCGTCGCCGTCGTCATCGCCGACATCGTCGTCATCGCCTTCGCGTTATCGTCGTTGCCGAAATCGTTATCACCGCCGTCGTCATCGGGACGGGCCGTTCCGCTCCTCCTCATCATCATCCTCATCGTCCTGCTCCTGCTGCTCCTCATCCGGCTCCTAGTCCTCCACCTCCCCGTCCTCCTCCGCGTCCTGTTACCCCTCCTCCTCTTCCTCCCCCTCGTCTCTCGCATCATCGTCAGCATCATCATCAGCATCATCAGCATCATCAGCATCATCATCATCAGCATCATCATCATCAACAGCATCATCAGCATCACCACCATCATCCGAATCATCATCAACAACAAAATCACCCTATCATCATCATCATCATCATCATCATCATCATCATCACCATCATCATCATCATCTTTATCACCACCGCCACCACCATCATCATCACCATCATCGTCCTTTTCATCCTTCTCGTCTGCATAAGTTCACCATCGCCATGACCATCACCGTAAGCATTGGCGTCATCATCGTCGATATCGTCGTCGTCGAAATCGTCATGGCTGTCATCGTCGCCGCCAGCGTCATCCTTGCACATCAAGTGACACTTCCTCGCGCACGATGATGCTGAAGCTTTGCATGGCCCAAATTTTCAGGTACAGGTAGCAAATCGCTTGGCCTCTGGCTGCCGCTTGAGGCGTCACAGTCACACGTGATGGAGGACACCTTCTCTACCACATCGAGCTCTAGCTTGAGGCATTCTGCAATGTTTACAGCACTGCGTGGATTGTCCAAGCCGCCGGGTGCTCTGCATCGAGACTTGTGTTGCTACGTAGAGGGCCCAGACTCGAATTGCCTGGTGTCCTGGGCATGCTCGCTCTTGGATCGGGCCACGAAACTTTTGCAAGAGGCCAGAGAGAAGCAAGACGGGCCGAGAGAGTCACATGAGCCCCCCGAGACGGTCCACGGTCCAACCAGGCCCTCCCATGAGCGCCGCAAGAAATGCAACATGCCTCCAGGCGGCCCAACAAGCCAGCCGGGGCATCGCCCACCCCCCCTTCCCTGTCAAATGACACTATGCGCGCACACTCCTTTATCACGACATGTTTTGGCAAAACATGGCACACAGTCCACACACGCGCGCACCGAGCAACATACATCCCCTCTTAAAAACATGTGTCAAAAATAGTGTTGGGGGAAATTTGGCCGTTCATCGCTAATTTGAGGGAGTTTCTGTGGAACTCACGTCATCCTCACCCCCGGCGCGAAGAGCACGAGCCCAGAGCGGCCTCCGGCACCGTTTCCGGACGGATCCGCTGGATCCGCTGGATCCGCTGGATCCGCTGGATCCGCTGGGATCCGCTGGATCCGCTGGATCGTGAGGAACGGGAGGCCGCGTTAGCATAATTTTTCCCAAAAACCGGCGCCTCGCGTTCAGAACATCCTCACAACAGCTCGTCCGGGGGGAATTGCCCAGAGGAGCCCAGAGCGCCTTCTGGCACCCTTTTCCGGCGGATCCGCTGGATCCCGCTTGGTTTCCGCCTGGATCCGGTGACGAATCCACCCCGGCGCCCTCGCCTGAGACATCCTCAAACAAAACTGGCCCCTGGGGGGATGCCCGAGGAGCGCCAGACGGCCTCCGGGCACCGGTTTTCCCGACGGATCCGCTGGAATCCGCTGGAATCCGGTGACGAATCCCAAACCGGCGCCCTCGCCTGAGACATTCCCCTCACAAAAAACGGGCCCCCGGGAGGGAATGCCAGAGGAGCGCCAGAAGCGGCCTCCGGCACCGTTGACGATCCGCTGGATCCGCTGGATCCGCTGGATCCGGTGACGAATCCCAAACCGGCGCCCTCGCCTGAGACATCCTCACAAAACGGGCCCCGGGGGGGATGCCCAGTGAGCCCAGAGCGGCCTCCGGCACCGTTTCCGGACGGATCCGCTGGATCCGCTGGATCGGGTGACGAATCCCAAACCGGCGCCCTCGCCTGAGACATCCTCACAAAACGGGCCCCGGGGGGGATGCCCAGAGGAGCCCAGAGCGGCCTCCGGCACCGTTTCCGGACCGATCCGCTGGATCCGCTGGATCCGCTGGATCCGCTGGATCCGGTGACGAATCCCAAACCGGCGCCCTCGCCTGAGACATCCTCACAAAACGGGCCCCGGGGG